GCAAGATGCATACCTTCTTGCAGAGACTGTGGTTTATGAATTCTCACAGATTTTTTTAGTTTAGTTTTCATACCTAACAAAGAAAAACTTAATGTCATTGACTCAGATATAACTACATGAGCAAAAAAAAAACATAAACTTCCAAATATTCTCCCAAATCTTCCTCTTGTTGCAATCTTGATAATTCAACAATATCCTCAAAAGCACGATCATCAAATCGATATGACATATCTTGTGATATTTGTTCCCAAGATTTATTCTTGAAACTGGGTTGATGCATGCAATGTCACTGCCATGAAAAAGCCTTTCCATCCATGGATAACAGCAATAACTTTCCCACATTATGCCACTAGTCTAGTTTCCAATTCAAAGATTTGTTCAGCCTTCGCTAATCATGAAAATTTGTGCCATGGAAAGGAAATTGGATGTTCCATAACAGACTACTCGAATTTAGACATGTCCAAAACTCATTCGGCATTATTCATGATTGTCTTGCCGCTATTCATGACAGTAATGGAAGAAACTAAATTCTCTAATGTATACTATAGTGAAATAATCGATTAATTCATAAAGGAATCGATTAGTCTTGTACAGAATGAAATTAATAAAATGATAACAGAATTTAAATCGATTAAAATGAAAAAGAATCGATTAAATTTGACATCTTAGTGTTTTTAGTTGATATGAATTTATTTTTAATCGATTTAAAACAGTTAAACTCAAATCCTGAGAACATTTTAATCGATTAATTCACATTTCAATCGATTAAAACTGTATGGATAGATTTTCTGATATTCTCTGTAAGATATTTTAATCGATTAATACTTGTTTTATATCAATTAAAATATTCAGCTAATGAAACCAGAACCTGATTTGCAGTTTTGAATACCAAGGGATTTCCAGATTTTGTTCCTGCAAAACAAATTTAACATGTTTCTGGTACCCTTTATAATTACTGGGTCCAATTAGGTTATTTGAAATTACTTTAACTTTGGAATCCATTTCATTCTTCCTCTAGGAATAGCGTACTTTCTAATTCTACGAGTATTTATCTGAATGACCTCTTTTCATGCGAGTAAAAACATTTAATCACGAGTATGATTTCTTATTTACATTTTTTTTCTGACTTTCATCCTAGATTTAAATACTATGCCAGATTTGTCAAAAATTAGTTTTTGTGACCCAAGTAAAACGTCAAGATTAGCTTGACCTTGTGTAAACCTTGAAACAGTTTGTGATAAAAAATCAATTTTCTTTTGTAATTCTGAACAATTATTACAGGGTTTATTACATGCACAATCAGAATTATCATCTAATTCCAAATTTTCATTCTTGGTTTCTTCATCAACTATTTTCTTTTCAAGAATAGTGATCTTGTTTTCTAATATCCTATTCATGCTTTTTAATCTTTTGTTTTCAGTTTCTAATTTTTTTGCTACAGCATGCATTTCATAAAATGCATCTTGTAAAGAACTATAGTTCAAAGTAGTTGTTGAGTCAGAATTTACACTGGTTATTGGAGAATCCTTATTGACCATTAAGTATGTCTCTGTAGTTTCTTCATAGACCATTTCAAGGGTTTTCCACATTTGTGCAGCAGTTTGACAATGTGCTATCCTGAAAAAATTGTTTATATTAAGTGCAGATATAATGATATTTTTGGCAATACAATCATCTTGGATTAATTTCTTTTCACAGTCATTTAAGCTAGACCAATCTTTGTTAAAAATATCAGTTTCTTGTTCAATGATATTCCAAACATTTATACTAACAAATTCAATAAAGATCTTCATCCTAATCTTCCAAAATGAATAATCTATTCCACAAAACAGTGGAGGTCTATCAATACAAGCACCCTCAGAGAATTTATTTCCAGCCATGGATCGAAGAACTTGAATAACTTTCAAGCACCTCGCTCTGATACCAATTGTTAGAAAAGTAGGCTGAGATCAAGAGGGGGGGTGAATTGATCTTTGAAAGATTTTCGCAATTAACAGATTATCTATTTGTAAAAATAAGATTTCAGATCTGTTCTTGAATCACAAAGCAATCAATCAACAATAAACGCAGTAACATAATTAAAAGAGGAGAAAGGTTTAGAAAGATATCACCGGTGTTTATACTGGTTCACCCAATACCAGGGCTACGTCCAGTCTCCAGCCAAATTCCAGCTGGGTTCCACTAGATCAAATGTTTTACAGATTACAATCTTACACTTAATCTACCACAAGAACCACAATTCCAGTTCCTGCACCTAACCTTTCACCAAGAACCAAATTCCAGCTCTTGACAACCTCTACAACCAAATTCCAGCTGTAGAGAAACCAGTGCCCACAATTCCAGGCACCAAACAATACAAAAATAATGTAAAGAATTGAAAAGAAGAAACTAGAATGCTCAAACCAGTTTTATGCAATTCTGCAGTAAGTGTTTCTTCTCCAAAAGAAAGCAATTTGCCTCAAGAAAGAATTTCAAAGAACTTCACAAAAACTAGCGCGAATCTTTCTTGAAAGAGTATTAAAGTTTGCTTGCTTGATTGCTAAAGAATGTGTAAAAGATTGATATTCGATGATATTTAAAAAGTTCAAGCCAATCTGTTTTTATAGAAGATTTTCAAAACTGCTGGTTTAATCAATCTGTTAAAATAATCTTTTAATCTGTTAAAAGTGTAGTTTTAATCTGTTAAAACTTCTTTTCATCCATTAACACGTTCTTGATTCTTTAACTGATTTGTTTTAAGCTGATACGACAACGTTTCTATCAATTAAAACTCTTTACAAAAAATCTTCTAATTTGTTTTAATCGATTGTTTCAGTGATTCAATCGATTAAAATACTTGCAAAACTTTCTTGTAAAATTTTCCAAGTGATTTTAAGCTGATAAAAATAAGTTTTAATCGATTAAAATGCTATGTAGAAATTTTCTAAGTTGTTTTAATCAATTGAAACGTGTTTTTATCGATTGAAAAAGCTCTGATCGGTCATAACTCAATTCTGATCGATCATATCTGATTCTGATCGGTCATAATTGCATTCTGATCGATCATCCTGAACACTAAGTGGATTTAATCGATTAAAACCAAGTTGTATCGATTAAAATACTGCAAAGACGCTTCTCTTAACATTTTAAGTGATTTTAATCGGTTATTTCGAAGCTTTATCAGTTAAAATACTGACAGAAGGTTTTCAAAACTTTCTTTAATGAAAACAACCGATTATTTCGAAATTATATCAGTTAAAAACTTGTTTAAGAAAACTTTTGTTAAAATACTTTGTTTTTAACTGCTTAAACGTTTTTAGAGGCATTTTGCAAAATCTTTTAAGTGAAGAAACCTCATGAAGCAGAAAAGATAAAAATGATTATACCTAAGCATAGCTGCGGACACACTAATCCCTCTATTCTTTTATCTAAGTGACTGTTGACCGCTACAAAGTTGACTTTGACTTTATCTTTGACTTCATCAAATTAATAAGATCTTTGCCAGAGTATTTCAATAAGATCTTCATCACTTTCAGTTTTTGCTTCAAGGCTACATCATACATGCACAAAGAAAATTATATGAAGTAATAATCATTGGCCAAGAAGAAGAATAATTTTTACCAATTACATGAGGCAAAAACATTAACACACAATCCTAATCACACATTTCAAGGTTCTTGAGAAAAAAGATCATATTTCATTAAATTTAATCTAAGTTTTAGCCTTAAATGGATGATTTATACAACATGATTATCTTTGATGGACATGTCATGCCATTTCATAAGCTGTTTGCATTGATGAATACAAACGTTGTAACCTTGAAACAAGCAGAAAGTACCACATCCTTTCAAGGGGAACTAATTTTTTCTTACCCCATCTATTAACATATTTTTCTATTTTTCTATTATAAATTAAACACGTGTAGCATTTAAGTTTACTTATAATACAAGATACATCCACTTGGATAACATTCAATTTTCATACACCCTAGTCTCAATTCAGATACCAACTTCTTTGCTTGATAAATATTTCTAGACAAATTTGTTTTCATATGGCATCACATCTCCCATAAATTGCATCCACTCATTGAAGCAACATTTTGATAAGCCAAAATATGTTTTCAAACTCAATGCCCTTAATGACGTTGACAAAGTAGAGTACTTGTCACATATATCCCATAAAGGAGATTGTACAGTGGTCAACATGTCAAAGAATCATTGTGCTTTTGGGTGCATGCCCCATTTGCCTTAAGATGTGTTTCAATAGCTGGTCCAACATCATCCATGACCAACTGTGCGTAGTTGTCAGACATTTCTTGATGAGTACTATTATGATAGTAAGATTTAATTGGAAGTGTGGGAATTGTAGGAATTGTTTCACCATGGTTGGTTAGTCCAATAGTAATAATTAGTCATAAATCCCTTCTTATACAAGTGCACCTTAACTTCATCAGAAATTTCATACTTTCTATGCTTACAGACTTTCACTACAAGAAAAACATCAAATAATTATCAAAAATTCGTTTACTAAATGATAAAAATCAGTCACTAACTAAAATAGTGACTGAAATAGTAACCAACTGGAATCAATCACTATTTCCTTAGTGACCGATTCAGTGATCAAATCAATGACCGAATCAGTGACTGATTCAGTAATCGAATCAGTGACTGATTTAGTGACAAAATCAGAAACCGATTTTATGACCAAATATATATGACCAAATCGGTTACTATATCGGTCACTAATTTTATTTTATTTTTTATATTATTTTTAAAATAACGATAGACCTGAGTAAAGAATATGAAATACATTATATATACTATAAATGACAACTGCAATTTTAACATGGTACAAGTTTTACATTTCAATATATCAAAATTACATATGAATTCTTTCCACAGATCTTCTTGATACTTTTGTCTGTTTTCTGCAATTAAACGCTCTCTCATCTGCAGTAACAATATTGAGTTGCTGATTAGAATAAAATTTAAAGGTACTTGCGCTAAAAAGTACTTTAGGAACTAAACTACCTGAACAAGAAGGTCCAGCTGCATTGATGGAGGCAATGAGGCTAGAACAGCTGGATCGATGGAGGCAATGAGGCTAGAACAGCTGGATCAACTTCACCATGCATAGCAGGCTGAAAAAAGAAAATGAAATAAACTATTGTTTTTATTTTTTTATGCATAGATTACACATCAAATCACGAATTTTAGGTATGGAGTTGGGGAATCAAAATGGAATGGTGGACATCAAAATAAAACTGAACAGGACACTGTTCTGTTGCAATCGAAAGACCATCCATAATATATCTAAACCCAAAAAAGGAAGGAAAAAAAACTATGATGCACATTTTATCAATTAGGGATTCAAAGTGTACATATATGATTTACTTACCATCCAAGTTCAGAACAAGAGTAGTTGAAGGGCAACTACGCGTCTGCTTAGGTAACAATAATCGTCTAAAAGTTGGAACCACTGTTGACAAGTTTAGTAAGGTCTTTATGAATAAGTATGGGTCAAAGTCATCAAAATCCTCAAACTCATCCTCCTCTGTCCATATGTCAGAAGACACTGGATCCTGACCGTGCTCATCAACACATTCCAACTTTGAGTTTTTCATGGCAAGATATATGGCTGAAACTTCCATGGAAAGACCATTTCCATCAAAATCAGAATTGCAACCATTCATATTTCCTATGCCTAAAGCATGTATCTGATTTCCACAGCTCCCAGAATTAGAGTGGTTGGATGAATTGTTCATGTCTACCTCAATTGCTGTGTCAGATCCTTGAGTGATAGGACCAACTACTTAATCTTCTTGAGGTAACTTTAATTCTTGACATGGAGAAGTTTTCTTCTGGTCTTCATTCTCAATTTTTGATAAAATCAACTAGATAGAAACAAAAGAAAAAAGATTAAAAAATAATTTAAAAATATAAGAATATTTCATGGAAAAATAGAAAGAAAAGAAAAAAAATGCCAAGAATAATTAAAATAACACAATGTCATTTACCTCTGTCAACAACTTTTCCTCCAGGATTTTTGGATAAGTGAAACCCAGGAGAAAATATAGTTCCAGACTCAAGATGAACAACTTGATCGTTGCAACCCTGAAGCATTATTTAAATGCATTTAAAAAAACAAAAAACTGTCAGAGAATATATCCAATTTATACGAGAACCTTAAAATCAAATCAGCATTTCAAAAGAGAAACTTATGACATTGAGTCATTATGCAGTTGACATCTAAGATTAAAAATAACTTTCAGGCAAAAGAGAAACTTATGTAGTAGCATTCACACCCGGACACACATAAAGTAAAACACTAGTGCAAAAAGGGGCTTTTACATCAGGTATTTAGGGCTTTTTACGTCGTATTTAAGACTGACGTTAAAACGAGAGACGTAAATTTACGTCAGACCCTTTAGCCTGATGTAAATTTACATCAGTTATCAAGACCCGACGTAATTTTGCGTTGCATATACCACTAAACAGACGTAAAAACTTTCAGAAATTAAAAAAAAAAACAACAAATTTACGTCGCATATGGTATATGTGACGTAAATTTACGTCACATATACCAATACGCGACGTAAATTTACGTCGCATATTGGTATATGCGACGTAAATTTGCTGTTTTTTTTTAAATTGGGTTGATTATGTTTTACAACTAAAACCTGCAAATATATATTACAACCAGACAGTTCAGAGGTTCAATTTTCTTTAGCTAGTAAATTAAAAATATAATATTATATAATTCAAACTACATAATAAAACAATATAATACAAACATACAAACTAAAAAATCTATTACAAACTAAAAGTTAATACAAACTAAGCTACCTAAACTACATAATACACACAATATAATATGAACAAGAACTTAAAAAATTATGTACTAGAATTGTTGAACAAAAAACCTTGCCCATTATTCTCTAATTTGTGTGATATCATATTCGGCAATGGAGATGGATCTTGAAATACCCGAAACATTAATTTGACTCTTGTAAACATGCAACACACATAAAGTTAAATAAACTTAACTAATGCTGAAAACAATTACCTCCAGTCCAAGAATCAGTTATACCCGCACAAACTATGGCTCTCATCCAATACATAACATAGTAACCACATTCAAATGAGTCCGTTTGCTTATTACACTCGAAATGATGAATAAAATATAATGTTATTTTCAAAATTTAAATACAAACAATAATTATGGTATTCACTTATTATAATAAGTTTCTAATCTTAGGATAAATGAACTGCAAAGTCTTTGTTCTGGGTTTTCCACTTAGAACATTAGTTATAGACACGATTCTAAATGAAAAAAAGTCATATATTATTCAATACCTTTTCCATTTTCACTACCAAATTTCAAAAATTCATCAACTCTCTTTTCGTACTCTTCACTAATACGACGTGCATTAATCCAACTCTGATTCATATTATGTTATAAAGTTTCATCACTCCTAGAGATTCAAAATTTATATTTAAAAATAAATTAATATACAAACAATAAAGCACGTATATGGCGTGTGTAAACCGAAAATGCACTCAAACAAAATAATGACATTCCAATAACAATCCAGTGGAGACATTCATACAATGACGTGATTGAGATCCCCAAAAACAATCACGGATTCAATTTGAACATATATCAGGAGACATAGAACAATAACCTCGAGTAAACACGAAAACGATTTCAAACTCGAATCCAATCGGGGAGAAATGTCAAATTCGTAAAATGAGACACAATGTTGATGTTTTTCACTGCCAAAATGATCGAAAATGGTGTGGAAAGGTAGCTATCGTCGTCGTTCTCATTGTCGTTCTAAAAAACCCTTGCGGCGCGATATGCGGGAGTGGGTATGGAAGAGAATAAAAAGAACTTTTTACGTCGCACACCCTAGTACGTGACGTAAAAAGCCTCTTTTACGTCGTGTGGGGGGTGCGCGACATAAAAAGTGATACTTTTTACGTCACATGGGGGGTGCGCGACGTAAAAAGTTCTTTTTACGTCGCGCACGCCCCATGTGACGTAAAAAGTATCACTTTTTACGTCGCGCACCCCCATGTGATGTAAAAAGTGATATTTTTTACGTCGTGCACCCCCCACGTGACGTAAAAAGTATCACTTTTTACGTCGCGCACCCCCATGTGACGTAAAAAGTGATACTTTTTACGTCGCACACCCCCCACGTGACTTAAAAAGCTCTCTTTTAAGTCGTGTTGTACCAGGTGCGACGTAAAAGAGGTTTTTAACGTTACCTCCTACAATATGCGATGTAAAAGTTTCACCTCTTATTTACAAAATTGCCACCGCGTTTTATTTACATCGAATATTTTGACATGCGATGACAATTGAGTGACGCAAAATGTCATTTTTGCACTAGTGAAAGATCCAAAATAAGAGAAGTAGAAAAGCACTCTAGTTAAAATACCATAAAATCTAGTGATACACCATCAACTGCATCATTTCCAAACAAAGATTGGAAGTTCCACTGTCCATAAACTCATATCCGTTATTCAAATCTGTTGAAGGGATGGGCTCTCTAGCTTTATTCTCAAGAGTGCTAACTGAAGTTACACCAAGAAGATGAGAAGTAAAATCAGTTAATTTCACTATTTTCTATTGCCAAAAGACACATTGTTTTTGGACCATAATATATTGATACTGGAAATTTCAAATTTTTTTTAGAAGGTTGAGTTATGCACTGCAAAATATTAAAAGACAAATTAGACATAAAACAAAAAAAAATAATTCATATAACTATCTTAAAAAATGTCAGACCATCACTAGTACTTACAAGATTTATTCTTCCTAGCAGATGATGTAATTAGGTCTGTCACTTTCTTTTCAGTAGCTCTTCCATTTCCAGATACCTTCCTTTGTGCTCTTGAAACCTTAGGACTGCCACGATCTTGCCTGGCATTTTGCCTAGAGGTTTTTTTCTTAGTTTGCATGTCCTCTTTAAGAAGAATATGTGGTGAGCTAATTAATTTCTGTGAGAATAATCAAAGCAGCAAAAACAAGTAGAAAAAGACTACCCTAAGAAAGTGCATTTATGAACTGAATTTCAAAGATCCATGACACTTTGAATGTCTAAAATTCAACACTAAGCAATACTTTTTCCATGTTTCTAAAAACCAGGATGAATCTTCATAATAGCTTAAACTTTCAGAGCTCTAATTTCAAATTTTACATCCCCTACTGCATTAATCGCATGGGACTATAATTCATACCATTAATATCAGCAAGAATAAAAAGCAGAACAAAAAAAAAACATCACTACTACAGAAAACACTTACTACGACACAATTCAACGTCGATTTTTATGAAGACCGACGTTGTACAAGATATGGTGGCAAACTTGTAATTATGAAACAATATTTAACGTCGGTTATAACAAAACTGACATAAGAATGGATAAATAACGTCAGTTAGATAACAGACGACGTTACATGTTTAAATTTAATGTCGGTTATGTATAACCGATGTTGAAATCCCAAAATCAACGTCGGTTCCATGATTTACCCGACGTCGAAAGCATTATCCACGTCGGGTTTTTTAATAACTGACGTCGAATGTCCTAACACACTTTTTATACCTAATTCGAAAGCGCGCAATTCTTCTTTTGCTTCTTCTTCGTGCTCTGCTACCTCAGTCCTCATCGCCGTGTTCTATCAGCCCACCCTTTAGTTCCCTGCATCTTCATTCTCTGCTAACTCAGTTCTCTGCTTCTTCTTCGTTCCTTATTTGACGTGGTAACACCGCCCCCTCGCCGCCCCCTGGCCGCTCCTCGCCGCGCTCTTACACATCGTTGCACCGCCGCTGTTGCCGTGTGCGTGGTACCCCTCGTTTCCCTAAGGAAACCCCTTCTCATCAGGTTAGATTAAGTGGTATGGATGATTTACAGCATGCATTTAACATAAATATGGATGATTTAGAGCATTTCCTGCATATGAACAGTGGAAAGATGATGGATGATTTTGTATGGTTTGATTTGATCTAGGTTCCTTTAGGCTTTGGAAGTTTGTTTTCAGTTTCAAAGTTGTATATACTCTTTCATGTAGATGTACACGTTTGACTGTGACTGTTTTTGGGGTTATTTTCCCATTCTTTACGTGGGAAATCAGATTATCTTTATGAGCAACTTGTTTGGTATCTTTTTTTTTTGTATTGTTTTGCTAAACCTTTTCTAATAAACCTTCAATATCTAGGCAAGCCCTTTTGTGTAGTTATATGGATCGAACTTGGGTCAATGCAAGTCTCATGTCAGAAGAGTATGAGAATGGAGTTGACTCCTTTTTGAAATTTTCCAAAAAAAATGCTCCCAAAACGAATGGAAAAATCTATTGCCCATACGTTAATTGTGTAAATGGCAGAGTACAAGAGATGGACACAACGCGGGAACATCTTATTTGCGATGGGATGATGAAGAATTACACCTTATGGACATGGCACGGTGAAGTGGTTGATATTCCAACAGTATCACAAACTATTGAGGATGATGTGACCTGTGAAGATCGAATAGAGGACATGCTTTGTGATGTGGGTCAAGAGAGCTTTCTTGAAGCACATGCATCTATATATGATACATTGAGGACCGATTCAGAGACACCTTTGTATCCCCGATGTACAACTTTCACACGGTTGTCATCTGTGTTAAGATTGGTCAATCTAAAA